TGTTGTTCAATAAACTGATGATAAGTCTGACTATAAGTTTCACATCACTAATCCTATTTAATTTCTCTTACTTAAAGTTTTTTGTATCTTTTGCGAGACTCTTGCCAATTGTAGCTTAGTTAAGTGGTTTTCAAGGCACTCAAACTGCCGTAATAGGATTAACTTGCTTTACTAGACATACTTCTTTAATCTACTTATACTTATTGCGCTCTCGGAAACATTTCCAATTGGCAATGGAAGATGGGTTCTTTAGTTTTTTGGGCACTGCATATTATTTTCCTTGTTTGAGGAATATGTCAATTATAACTATGTAAAAATTATATATACTAATAGACGTTAGATGGTTTATGTATTTTTATTCGTGTAAAAAGTTTGTACTATTAAGCTTCAACATTCGAAGAACCTAACTATATCACCATATATCGTAATAAAAAAAGTTCCTCAAAATAGCTGACTTTACTGAAATCTGTTGTGGAGTTGAAGTGACCCGGAATTCGGTCACGTCTATATCATCAGTAGACACTTTTAGCGTCAATATTAAAATTTTAGAGGATATATAATTTAATTTAATTTATATTGTTAACATATAGTATATATGTTTATCAAAAATCTTATATGCAATATACATACCATTAAATTCTTAATTTTTTTTCTTTAATATATAACATATAAAATAAACTTAAAGTGTTTTTCTGTACATAATGCAATTAAACTTTTTGAACGAAAATAATTAAAACACATAGTGTTTAAGTAGATATTCCTTTTTTGTTCATATATATAACATATTTTTTTAATATTTTTATGTGAAACCTCAACGTTAACGTTGTGCAAAAACAGGTACGTATAATACTGTGATATCGTAGGTTTGTACATGTGAAGTAACATTTGTGTATATCAGCTTCAGAAAAATTAAATTTTATGGAAATAATTAAAATAATCATATAATATTAAAATACCCAACAAAGTAGTTGTCGTTGTTGATGTTGTTGATAAGTGTGCAAATATTATATACTACCTACTCGTACATAAAATACATATATACATAAAGTTTAAGTATATGCAACTTAAATACGAAGGCTTGCATAATTTGCTTCAAACTCTTTGGAATGTGATGAAATGAAATCCAGCAAAGAGATAAAAATTTATTATATATACTTATTCCAATGAAAAAAAATAATGAATAAAAAAATATTAATGTGCATTAATAAACCAAAGCAAAAAAAAAAAAAAAAAAATTCCAACAAATGTTGTGCATATTTTTGTATTGAATTTTGAATAATGCATAACATTTTTAGGATAAAAACTTAACACAAAAATAAAAGATATAACCTTACATTAATCCACATATCCTTAAGAGGCAGTAAATATCACTAACGGACAGCATATATGTTGGCAATCGAGCAATTTATTGAAGGATTTTTAACAACGATTTTTAGTTGTTTTTTGTAAAATACATTTTTTTTACTTTCATTTGATACATATAGACAAAATATATATTTGTTATATACAATATATATATATATAAATATTTAAAAATAAAACTAATTTGCATTATGTTTAGTGTTTTTATTTGAAATTTCGATAATTTAAAGCTGTTGCAAATGAACCGCTTTTGTATTTAACAATTTTAGTTTGACAAAATAATAAAATTCAATAAAAAAATAATACTTTGAACTTTACGATTTTTATATATAAAAACAATAATACAATTTTCACTGATACTGCTAACAACTTACTACTACTCTCTATACTATTTACTATTGTACGTATTCCAATCTAAAGTTAATATGCTACCCACAATATTGCTACTGTATACTTAAACTATATATAATAATACTACTAATATTAAATACAATATATATATATAATATATACAATATATTTAAATTTAATGATTTTTAGTTCGTATTTACTTGGATTTGTGTGTTGTGCGTGTATGTAATTTGTGCAAATAAATGTTTGTTATAGTACTTATATTACTATTATTAATTAGCATACATATTTACATATCAATTACAAATTTATAAAATATTATTGTTACTCCACAGCAAACTATAAACATTTAAGTGAATGCACTATATAAATATTCTTAAACAATTATTTTTAGTTAAAAATTTTAAAACAATTTTTTTTATACACAAGAACACATCCTTTGCAACAAAGACCCCCTAAACTACACCAAATTTTTAATGCTTAAGACCAAAACACAGGGTTGTAATTTATACAAAAGTTTACAAATTTTCGCATGACAAATATTTAACACACCTAACATTATTTACAGTGTATTTTAACCGAAACGATTGTATTCGAAAGGATTGTTAATAAAATGAAAGTCCTCTATATGTCGGAAGCTATAAATATTATTATTCAAATATTATTCAGTAAATTTTTTTCATATAAAAGTGATTGTTAGATACTGAATAAGATGCATTTTATTGCAAATATATTTAGTAAGTAAACAATTATTAAAACTAAATTAAACATGCTGTCAGGAAGTCACAGGGAATAAATTGAAGAATAAGTTTAACAGAAAGAATCGGTTCTCATAAATAAAAAATATCTTATAAATATAATGCTGAACCACTAATAATATTGATGAGCAAAACGTGACTGAAAACAACTCTTAATTTAGGAACTGGTATAGAATTCTTCATATGAAAGGAACATAAATTTATTTTTTCTTCAATGCAATTTATCTCAACCGACTTTCTTAACATAATACATATTCCGGCTTCTCTAAAATGGTTTAAACTTATCTTAATCAATATCTTTCTCGTACACCTATATAAATTATTATTGTGATTATTTTTATAAAATTTGTAAAAAAATCTCCCAGAAGAACGAGAAATATTAACTCAATTTTAGAAATATCACTGCACTTCCTTTTATTAGAGCACAGATACTGATAAGATGCAGGCATTTTTAAGAGCTTCAGTAAAGATAAATACCAATTTAAAAAATGATCCAGAATTTCGTTTCTTTAATAAGTTTTTATTAGTATCTCTGAATATTTTCAAGAATAAATGGCTTTGGTTTTATAACTTCAGAATAATTATTTATGTAATTATTACAGTTTCGGATGTTAGGCAACGTTAACCAATCAATAGAATTGAGGACTATTAAGAAATATAATATCAATAATAAAAAGGATTTAAACAAAAATAAAACACAAATAAAAAATCATTAATAATTCATTGTTATTACGACCAATTTATTAATAAGTTTATTTAAAATATAAAATGGATAAAAAAGTACACTTATTGATTTATGTTAAAATTTTTATATATTTATTAAATATTTATTATACTGATATTTTTTTAAAATATAAAATAAATTTCAACACAAATTAATAACTGTAATTTTTTATCATTTTTATATGTTAAATAAATGACCTAAACCCGGTGAATATCAAAAAACTTATTAAAAAATAAATAAAATTTTTTTAAATAAGCATCATAATAAATAAAAAAAATGGAATCATTTTATGAGCCCATTCTACTACAGAACAAGCATAATTTATTCAGAATATATAACTTTCAGCTATATATTATAGCTGAAATGGGTTCAACTCTATTATAAAACAAAAAATAAATTAAATAAAAAAGATTAAATAAACAAAAAAATGAATAAAATAAAATAATGTGAACTAAGAAGTAGTATATTAAAAAAAAAAATAGTAAACATTTTACTTAATAAAAAGGCTTATAAAAGGAAAAGAAATTATAAAACTTTAAAGACACTTTATCATTAAAAAAAAAATAGGATATTAAAAATTTTAATAAGATTATTTATCATCAAATTATTATTATTTTAATAATAATTTAATATATATTTATTAATATCTAAACAATAATATATAAAATAAATTTAAGAAAAAAATTAAAATAAAAATAAAATAGAAATCAAACAAAATAAAAAAAATAAAATAAAATACGATAAAATAAATAATATATACAACAAAAAATTATGAAATAAAATAAAAAAGATAAAACAAAATAAAATAAAAATCAAACAAAATAAAAAAAATAAAATAAAATACGATAAAATAAATAAAATATACAACAAAAAATTATGAAATAAAATAAAAAAGATAAAACAAAATAAAATAAAATAATAAAACTATTGTGGCACTCGTGGTCTTATACTGAGCTCAGTAATTGAGTACAAAGTGGCTGGTTATTCGAGTGACATAAAAACACTGTAATGTCCCAACAACAAAGTATATGTACCAGGAATGCATTTAGTTGTCAATATATTACAGTTTTATCATTTCACTTGAAACCCGAATTTGTTACTCAAAATCATGAACACCCTTTATATGAAACAACACGAAATAAAATGTGTATTAAAATAATATTCATTTCTTATAAGGTACAAATAAAAAAATAGTACCCCATTAAATAAAATTAAATTTTAGTAAGTATAATATATAAAAAAAAATAATCAACTTAAATAAAATTTAATATTCATATTTATATATATGAAATAAAAAAAAATTAATATAAAAGAGAACTGAATATAATCGAATCAGATAGAAATCATTAACACTGTTAAATAAAATCATATTATTCTTTTGATCCCACAATAATTATAAGAGATTTTCGATTTGCAGGAAAGAGATTTAATAGTTGTACCCATAAGTTAAAATTAGTGGAATATTAATCGTAGAATAATGAATGAAGAGAGTATAGCTTCAGATTTCCTTACCAGTATTAAGGATATAAATATTTATTTTGATGTATTCCATGCTAATGGATAGTTTCTGAAGGATGTAATATTTAAATGAACACTTATTGTTATAAATACACACACTAACTAATGTTAGTTAAATATTATTTATTATTAGAAAAACACATACTCTAATTTATTTAATTTAAAATATGTTATAAACACAAATCAATTGCTAATCCTGTAAATTACAAAATGCAAGCAGATTTATGTATATTTTTTTTAATTTTTAACTGAACACCGACACTAAATTAGCACTAAAACACTAAAACATGCCTGAGGTAAGAATAATGCTTCTAATCTGAGCAAATTTTTTCGTTTGACTTCTCAGAGGCCGACATGCAAATATAACCCCGCCGCTTATTATTTCGTTTGTATAAATAAAAATATTTACTGAATTAATTATAGAATGCCGTAGTTCGCCATGACTTGAAAATATGTTACCAATAAAATATAAGCAAAATATAATATTTACAATTTATGATAAAGCAAATATTCAGCATCAAATGTAAAATATTGAAATGCTTTTTATGCATCCACCAAATACTTTTTTAGTTCTATTATTGTTACTTTGTATTAATCATATAAATATATACTATGTTATATTAAACTATGGCATATCCTGCCTGTATATTGTGCTATACTAACTAACATATAATACTCACATTTATATATATATATATGAAATGGAAATGTTTCGAAACAGCGTTTTTCGGTGTAAATTCGTAGTAGAAGTTACTTGTATTTTCGAGTTGGTAATTTGGTTGAGTTTCGTAGTTAGTAAAATTGTTTATTTTTGAGAAATTTGCTGTTTTTTGTTCAATGAAATTGATTTGTTTTTTGTAAAAATAGTTTGTCAAATAAATAACTGTAAACTGTGCTTTATTAATGAGTAATATATATTTAATTACAAATATATACGTAAAAAAATTATATGTAAAATAAAAATATCCTTGCTGCTTCTGCACAATGCTCGCGAGCGCTACTTAAACCGCCTCTCTTTCTTGTATGTTTTAAAGATAATTATTTAATTACTATATTTAAAATTTTTAGTTATAATTTAATTTAATTAATAAATTATTTTTTCTGATTATTTATCTTATCAAACTTATTAATTTGTTAATTGTAATAGAATTATTATTTATATTTTTAAACGAACTAATTGAGCAATGTTAAATAATACCAAACTTTTTGAATTAGTTTTAAAAATATATTTTATTATTATAAAAATAATTTATATATATATTTTATATAAATATAATATATTTTTATTGACATTTTGACTATAGTTTGTAGTCATCTTCAAAGTATACTGAGAACCCAGAAGAAGATTCAAAATACTCTGTATACCGTAAGGATAACTATACTATAGACTACAGTCGAAATATCGGTGACAATAAAAAATATTTTTTGAAACTACAAATTTTAAAAATTTGTGTATTATTTAACATTAACTAATTAGCTCCTTTAAAAACAGAAAAATTTAATTTGGTCATTAAAAAAATATATTAGAATTATGGTATAAAAGTGTATAAAAAATATTTTTTAAAGGATCATTTCAAAATAAATGTATTACTATAATGTAGTAGTATTATGCTACTACCAAATGCCAAAATTTTGTTAACGAAAGTAGTATAATATTTAAAAATAACCCAATTATAATTTTCCTCCAAATTTTGTAGAGGAATATTAACATTGACTACATCTGTCCCATGCCCCATTTCAACAGAAAATTTGATGTCGATTTTTCATTAAGAGACACATGGATATCGGGTGATCTCTCATTAGAAGAAGGTGTAACCATTTTTATAGATCTTTTAAAATAGGTAATAGGATAGGAAGTAGAGTTTTCTTGGAAAGGCTGAATAAATCTTCCTACTATAGACTTCAAGATCATTGTAGTGGTTTTCAGATGAAGAAGATCGCAGTTTTAGGAAGCTATAGCTTGTTTGGAAGTGAATAAATTACATATTAAGAATATATACATACCATCAAACAGCCAAAGTGAATAATTTATTTATTAAGAATATATAGATATCATCGAACAGCCAACCTGCTTTGAGGTTCTTAAGTCAAGCCAATATAAATCTAGACTGATTTTTTATTGCTATACATCTGTAAAGGAGATGTCGGTGCAGTTAAATATTTCTATACTCTATCTTCCCTATCGTGGTGATATTTTTGGTAACTGCAAGGCAACTGAGTTAGCTAGATACTTTAAATAATCACTCAGCACGTTTCGTTGACTTTTGTCGAATTCTCTCTCTACTGAAATTTTTAATAAAATATGAGAAGACTCAAAGATATGTAGGCATCTGTATGTATGTTGAGTACGTTATATTAAAAAGAAATTCAACACTTTCATTGAGATGCCCCTTAGATACATCAATCTTGTGGTAGGTTTACTCACAGGCCATAACTGATTATGGTCTCATGCTAACAAATTGAAACTCTCTTTTAATCATTCCTGTTAGAGTTATGAAAAGGACGATAAAATTGGCACTCAACTGCTTTGTTAGTACCCAGTCTATGCTCAGCGCCATTTTATTATTTTTGTGTCCTCCTTTTTTGGAGGATCTTAGTCAAATTCAAGTCCTTCCATATTTTAAGCTTTGCCAAAGGTTCCAAGTAGTTTATAAACCTTTGAGTTTCTATATAATGACTTTTCATCTCATTATGTTGAGTTTTATACGATAACACAATCACCCAATAGGCCTAAGTGAATCGTTTGGATCCACCTAACCTTAACTACTGCAGATAGTTTTAAAATAAATAAGCAATATTTGTTCAAGAAAAAAATAAAGATTAAATAAAGATTATCAAAGTCAGCGTCATTTAATTAAAATTAGGACCTAAATTTTTAAAAAGATTAAATGGCTTATTGTGAAGATTGTAGAAATCATCATGACAGTTCAAGTACAGACTTTCCTAATTCATTCTTGGAAACTAAAGGATTAATTCGATGGTATTTCAAAGGTATCCTTTATATATAAATTTATTCAATGAACTGTAAATTTCAATATATTCTTATATTCATGATTTGAACCCTAGAATTTTGGTTTTAAACACCAAAAACTCCTGCAACAATGGCATAAAGTCTATATAAAATTTTATTAGAACTCAACTGAAGTTGTCTGACTTTTTAGAATTATGCAAGCAGAAGGGCAATTAACAAATTAATTGAGTGCAGCCATTTATTTTTGTAATAAAAAAATTAAAAGTCAAAAAGTTTATGCAGTCTAAGATGACTTGCCAATAGTGTCTATTCAGCCAATTTTCTCAAGAAACTTTCCAACTACAACCAAAAAAGAATCTCAGAAGTCTAATGAAGCGTGCGTGTTGCGACAACACAAACCGAGCCTACACAATTTAATAAGTAAGTTAAAAACGAAGAAAGGAATTACAAGTAAAAATGGGTAACGACTCGCTTAAAGCATATTGTTCTGGTATCTCCTCCCACTGTCTTTTGCGTCCTGCCGACTTACTCCTGCCTTTGTTATTGTTGTTGCTGCTGTTGTTCTTTATTGCATCTTTATTACCAAAAGTATCTGCATTGTAGATTGTTTACGTTCATAACGTTCATTCTTATTGCCACATAACATGAATCACAGTGAAAATTGTCAAGCAAATGGTACCACTAGAGCAGAAGAACTCCACAAAGAAAAACCAGCTAACAAAAGCAAAAAAACAAAAAAAATATAGTTGTGATAAAAAAAAGCAGCAACTTGTCCTTCCACGCAATCCAGGCACAGGCGAACTCTTCCCCGAGTCATGTCGAGTCGAGTCGAGTTGAGTCTATTTTTACAGTAAATTGGTTACGTTGGGCATAGCGTCAGCGAAGACCTCGAGTTGCAACCGCACAAAGTTTTTCCTTTCCCGTTCGCAACTTCGCTTGAAAAGGGTAAATCACCCTTAAAGTACAGAGCTGCAAAGTCGCTGCTTAGGGATGTTGACTCAAGTAAAAGCTGTGCGATTTGTTCTTGTAAATAATTAAGAAGCATAGTTAGGAATAAAATGGCAAGTGAAAGAAATGAGCAAGAGCAGAGTGGTAGGATGGTAGGGTGGGGCATGAATAGGCAAAACATTATGCCAGACTCAGACTGTCACAAGTTAAAAGGCATTTTATCATTTCCGGTTCCTAATAGTCTAAGAACGTGGAGTAAGAAAATTTATTAGGAAATAATTTTAGTGTATCATCGATGTGGCAGTTAACTTTTGCAAATTAAGTTATTTCAGCTACGTTGCAAATGCTGAATGCTGCCAAACCAAAAATATTAATTTATTATTTTTTCTTATGTTAGTTGTTATTCTTTAAGTTTTAATGAAATATTTTTATTTTGTGAAAATTTTGCAATGATTTCGTTAATTGCTTATGACTAACAAAAGCTTAATTTACTTGCGAGTACTGCAGTCTAAAAAATTAAACGATTGTATTAAATAAAATTAAATTTAAAAAATTAAATTCAGTCATTTTGTTTATAAAAAATAAATAAAAATTAAATATCCACCCAAAACTTAACGGAAATAAATAAATTTTAAACTCTTTATGTTATAAATAATTTACTTTCTATTACTTTTTAATTTAATATAAGTTCTTTTTGTATTTTCTTTTTGTATACTTAAAATTTCTTTTTAATTAATTTCACATTATCACTTATTTTCACCTAATTTCTTCACATAGTTTCACCTAAATCACCTTTTTCACCATTTTCGCTAGTTCACCATTAATTAATTCACCTTTTTCAATCAAAAAGCAGCTAATTTTCACCAAAAAAATTTTCATAGTCGCTATTCACTCAGTACAAAAACGCAGCAGTTCTTCATTCCAATAATTAACTAAAGCACATTAACAAAACCAATTGTTCAGATAATAAACCAATAAACCGTAATGAAATCATTTAATCCATTAATTTTTTCCCATCAAAATAAATGTAACAATTTTCAATTATCAATTTTAGCTGAAAATGACTATTCACTTTTATTATCACAAATTCATTAACACAATTTCTCACAGGCAATATTCACTTATCTCATGGCTGAAAAAAAAAACTCACATTTTTTACTCTTTCTCACTTCATACAAATTGCTAACAACCACCAAATAATTAAATGCAAAATATATATTTCACCTTTAAATGATAACAATAAAACTCACTATGAACTAAATGACATATCACAAGGCTCAACAAAATGTTTTTAATCACGGCAATAACAATCACTGGCTAAATTGAATTCAAACAACAGAAAAAGCATTAACATTGCACTTTGCAACATAAAATACG